TCTTCTATTATCCTCGGTAGTAGGCTCCAGGCAAGGTCAGCAGCCTCAGGCCAGTGAGCGAGAGCCCACACAACGTTACAGCACTCACGCGTGGTGAAAGCAATTGTGATGAGATCAATGAGCTCCGACTGATCAGGACAGGGCAACTCCAGGACGCACAAACTCCACAAGTAGTTGGCGACGTTCTGCGACGTTCGCTGCTTCAACGGCTTCATCTTGACCCCACGCAGAGGGACCACTAGTCCTGCTTGCCGACATCGTGCCAATGCCCATAAGGTGTTCGTCACAGCTTGTGTTGAACTGAGTGAAACGGTCGATGCCCTGAGCGCAATCTTAGATATGCAGCACTGCACAGCTGCGTGGTAACCTTCGGTGGGCAGGAGAGGCAGGGACTTGGCGAGAGCCCAGGAGACCATACTGAGGTCCTGGGAGTTGAACTCATCCATTCTTGTTGTAGCTGATCTGACGAGGTAAGTCATCACGTCGTCATCAGTGAACTCAAGCTTCACAAAACCCCAGAAAACCGCGGCCAGTTGTTTGGGCTCGATGACACCACAGTGGGACAAGTCCATAGCAGTTACCCGCTTGGCGACAACAGCAAGAGTCGCCGTGCATTGCCTAGGGTTGAGGCCGGATATGGTCAGACTGTGAACGACGTTGGCAAGGTCACCTCCAGAGGCCTCATTACACGACATGGACAACCTAGCGAATTCCAAGATGTGTTCAAGCTCCCGAGTCACAGCCAAAGCCCAAGTGATAGTAGCAGCCTCTCGAGCTCGCCAATCACGTACTGTCTGAAGGGCCAGCCGAGGCACCTGTGAGAGACCCGAAGGCGTCGGCTTACCACTACGGAACCACACCGCACACCGATGCAGGGCACAGGCGTAGTTGACGCTGCCGAGTTTGTTAGCGTTGGGGAGGACTATCTCGAGGACAGCAGCTGGGGTGGAGGCATCCATGAGTCGTCGCTGGAGAACCAAGTCCCCCGATTTCCCCCGTCTCAACCGACCAGCTACTTCGTACATACGACCCTTTATATGGAGCTCATTGGGCCGTACCAACGACATTGGCAAAGATAGAGCTATAAGGAAGATTATGACTCAGAGTGACCGAGACAAGATGTAAGCAACCGCATCGGGAAAAACCCACTGGCTGATCCCTCGCTGATGGTCATCAGTCACAACCAATAACGGGCATTTATGAACTCAATACCATCTCACGAACATCAAGACACGACGTCCTTCACTACATGGAGGAGTTACACCAGACAGACCGATGCGAATGGAGACCAGTTTAATGATGAATTCCGATGCACAACTTGGAGAGACAAATCGCAAACTCCTTGCTACAAAATTCATCTTGTCGGACTTCGCTATCCCAATTCGGCCATCTCCGATGAAGAAGGAACACGGCTATTGCTTATCATCTCTATTGACTTCACCTTGACTAGCTAGCCCTCAACAGCCTCGGTGGCTTTCGCTGAGCCGAGAAGACCATAAGGGATTCAGGCCACCACAGGATGCCGCCTGCTCTAGTGTGCTCTATCCATCGCAGCTGATGCAAGTGATGCTGACGGTCGATCCCCCTTCTACAAGTAAACTCCGCATCCACTTGAATCTCACTCCTTCGAGAGCAGATAGGACTACTCCCCCTCGTCACCTATCAACACTAGAGTATGCCCAATGGGGGAGCATCAAAGAGCCTTCCCACTTCATAAGACTACGTCACGAGAAGGCTTTGTCGCCAGAGCTGCGGTCATTGATAAGGAGCTATTAACCATCAAAAATCCGACCTTGTCGACACTCTCATACCTAGTACTTGAACGGGGATGACCCAGCACGATCCCCCATACACGACTCTATCTGACGGGTTAACGGCACAGCACAGCTACATGGACCCCGACAGAAGTCTCTGCTTGTCCTCCAACCTTTCCGTCACTCTACCTATCAACGACTTCTTGGCTTTAGCACATAGACGCTTGATAACCCCTTTAGAACTGATGCGGCTCTTGTAGCCCACTAGACCGCGAGCCATCATCCTCACCGACAACTTGCACAAGTCGAAGGGACTACTTCCCACGACGTAAACCTTCAAAACCCTATCAACCGTGGGTACACATCGGTCGACCCTCGCGCGCACCTTCTCAGCAGTAGCGTACCTGATGAAAAGGAGGGCAGGCATGAACCCACCTCTACAGTAGGGCAGTCGGCACTGCTATGATACACTACTTAAGCCTAGCTGTTGTACTCGTGGCCGCCTCCACTACGTCCTCCTCCTGCTCGTGTAGCACGTCCACCGTCCCACAACGTAGACTCTCTATAGAGATGGCCGGAGCCTTCGCGAAGGAAGAAGGCGTCCTGGGGTTCACAGAGAAATTGCCTTGTTCCCAAGACCAGTGAAAAATGGCACTGCCGTCCTCGCCTCCATCCACCATGCATGCGCCTTCAGTCGGATCGTTGGGGGGCACTTCGACCTGAGCACAGAAGACATCTATCAAAGAACGGATACCTCGGAGCTCACGGTAAGACGTGCAGTAGTGAATGGTTGACTCAAGCCGGTAAACCACTGAAGAATAGCAATGTTGACAACGAGAGCCCAGCGGCAAGGCATCACAACAACACTATGAGAATACAGTACACTAAAGCGGCAAGTGAACCACGACCACTATACACATACTGGGGTTATTCTTGCTGCACTGTGGAGGACCCACTAGGATGGAGGGGAAATCAGCGTCGAGCGGCGCGGGGCCAACCTGGAGGCGAGCGAGTTAAACTTTCCAGGCCTTAGCGTAGATTAGTAAGGTAGTGCGCGACGATACGAGCGGCCTAACATTTAGTCGGATTGTGTTCGAAGGATCCCTCACGAAGGCATCCCCCTCAAATGTGGATCGTGTGAGGAACATAGACAGATCAGGTTGAGCTGAGATTTCGGTGGTCAACAGTCACAAGACATACCATAAAACTAGCAGAAAATAATAACACAACCTAGTTTTTCTATGGCGGCCCCTTCCTTGCTGTTAGCCTCGATCACTAGTCATAGGTTGCGAACGAGCTCCCTCGATGTGGTGTACGGCGCGGGAGGAACACACATGTGACCACTGCCATCATAATAAGCGATACTTGAACACTAACAGCTGGTGATGCAGACAACAACAACATGAAGAACATCCCCATCACACTTGTGTCACCAAGGCTCCATACTGCGCTCGAGCCTCCGACACCGGTCGACCTCGCTCCATGGAGCCCGCTTGCTTGTTCATATTCTTGACCAGGGGGGCACGGGGCATTGTGGAGCCCTCGACTTTCATACTAGACCATTCTTTACAGAGCCTCCATTGAAGCGCGTGTTCGATGCAGCCTTGAGAGAAGCACTCATCAATTTCACACTGTACTTGCACTTGGAGAACGACGTGTCCTCATCTGTGTACATATCCACCACTTGTGGCACTAGTGGAGTATGCTCTATGAGTAGGTCAGAGAGGATCCTAGCACGGAGGGCACTGAGGAGAACAACAGGGATCAGATCAGGAGAGAAGCATGCCCTCACGAGACAGACTTCCTAACCAACAATAACAACAACAAAGACCCGCAAATTTGGGGTTCAAAACTGAGATCGTAATGGAACAGTCTGTCGCTGGCCTCTGAGACTGGCAGCAACACGAAATAGTGGTCAAGGTGAGCATAGGCGACACGCAGAATACGACAGCACCCTCGTGGGCGAAATGAGCAGTGCTTACTCTTGTGACCAGACGTTCTCTCCTTCACAGATGAGGTTGCTGACGATAACACTTCCACCTTTCATATTTTTCCCCCACTCAGCTGGAGTGTTACCCTCCTGCCAGGAGAAGGAGGCGCTACCAGTCTCCCCGGCATCAACTCTACAGTAGTTGCTATCGCCGGCACCTCCCTCACCCATGGTGGTTACCTGACGAAGCAGTGTGGGAATATATGTTCGGTTTCCTCAACTGAGCTCGTAAGTTCCTCACTATATTATGAAAAATTCACACGATTTTGGGTATAAGTATACAAAAATCAACGATAATTTCTCAAAATTTCCATATTGCTAGCAACACATGTAGTTGACCATATGCGTATATTCCCACACTGTGACAAGGTGTCGAGAACACAGATCATGTTGGGGCCAGCTCACATCCAAAGCGCCAGTGACCAACAGCGGGCACAAGATGAGCGATAGTGCGCGGGAGATCGGCACTGGTACGACGTAGTAGCCTAATGAGTACGACTCTGGTAACCAACCGGAAATTGGAACAAGGCTAAGACAGCGTGAATGGACAGACCCTCTAGGTAGAACAACGCCTAGGCCTTGTCTCCAGACGGGCGAGGAGGAGGAGGAGGAGACGAGGCTATGGACAAGCCCAGAATCCAAGGTAAAATTTCACTCGCCCGTGCTGGCCAAAGCCTAAGGCCCCCGACCACAATTCAAGGACTCTGTCTGTGCTCCAAGGTGGCCGTGCTGAGGTCTGTCACACCGTCCATCATGTTTGGTGTCAGCCAACGGCCATCACAAAGCTCGACTTGACTCGAAATGATTTCTTTGAATAGGATGGTCACCGCAAAAGACATTAATAATGCGCGAAGGCCCAAAGACAAGGAAGCTGGAGAGGAACGACGCAGAGAGATAACGAGCGATTCTGAGGCGGTTTATCTGCTAGTAGTAACACCCGCACCGGTTGACTCACCAACATTCACAACGGGAATAACCATATCTTCATAAGAGGGCCGCCAACCACTACGTGGGTCCCATGAGCTGCACGTTATAGCGGATTCGTCCCACCCATGTAGTAACTCGAGCCGATTAATCAACAGGAGGCTTGGTCAATAGTCATGGTCACAGTTGAGTACTATCATCCCACAGCCTTCCTCACCGTCGAGTGGTATGCATCATGTTGTGGAGAAGTCAGCCTCGTCATCACTATCGTGGGCCTCGAGATAATTCCCTGCTGTCAACAACAACAGCAGAAGACTACTTCTAAGGCCCTATTTTTCTCCTCCATACTCAGCGTGAGTCCATTAAGCGACTCAGCGGAATACTCCAGCATTGCCGAGACCCGAGCTATCGCACGACTAAGCTGCCTAGTGCACTGTGTCACCTGGCATTGAGCGTCTACTATCGAGCTCACATACACCCCAGCGCTACTGCTGGCAGCTTGCCCTCTGTCAGTTGGCTTATGAGTTCATCAATACCATCGATTGCCGCCATCTAGAAGGAGAACAACAACAACCTCATGCGAGCTGAAGAGCCGGAGGACGAGCGGTACAATCCTGTCAACTTTGGTTTCCAAGCGCCTCAAGTGATTCAAGCATAGGAGGACATCTTTGCTTTGGGCTTCCCCCCGCATCTTCCTCATCCCCATGGTGAACTCTTCCACCGACAAACTACCATCACCTGCAAGCAACACTCTACTCGAGGACTCGAGTCGAGGAGGCTCACCCTTGGCCAGCATATGCCACACCTCCTGGAGCTCATGCGCATCCACATCCAGCAAGGCTAACTTATGGACAACTCGGCGGCCTCGTAGAGCTTCCTCGAACTCCTCGCGACTCAGCTGTGAACGAATAAGACACATACAGCGCCATTTGCTATCAGGCAACTCGAATCGTAATAGCAACAAGTAACTGGTAGTAAATGAAACTCATCGAGGGCACCACCGGATCCCTCGAAATGTGAGATAGAGTGTAGGTCTAATCTTTGGCTGTCATATCATAGCAACATGGCTCAGTGTTTGATAATTCCACGCTGGTCCTCTGGGTTTACACACAGACCAGCACTCTAGCCAATCGGAGATGTTATCGTAGTCTAGGATCTCAATGAAATGAAGGGAAGATGTTCCCCATCTACCTCGCCGCTGCCATCAGTGTCCAACTCTGTGAATAGGTATCCGAGCTCAGCAGCCTCTCTCGCTCTGTTCCTCTCCATCTCGATAGCCTAAGGCTTCACGACACCCACCAGAGATGGCGTCCCATCGCCCTACGTGGTGCTCATCATCCTCCTTGGCTATGCTGAAGGCGTGCTCGACTATAACTGCTGTGATGAGGTTCATGAGGACGAAATAAGCGATGGAGATGAAGATGAGGAAGAGCCACTCGACCATCGGCTGCTGCACCATGAGTGGACGGACAATGCCCGTCCAAGAGTCCAGCGTCATAATCTACATAGGAGGAGAAGCAGGGCGAGGCAGGAGAGAACATACTTGGAATAGTGTGAACATGGACAAGAGGACATCCCCGAATAAGGATTGGACTTCTTCGTTGTTCCTGACAAACGTTGGCGATGGAGGAAGAGTTGCTCAGGCGGTAGCAATCAACATGCCAAGCTTGTCAGAGTGACGAGGAAGCAGCACGAATAAGCCTTGATTATGCTCTCTGTGACAACAGGAACAATAAATAGAAGCGGCACATGACATGAATAAGGTTGCAGACTATATTTGCTATTCCGAGCACTCCGCACTGCTCAGAACAACGAGCCGTGCATGGCCCTAAATCTGTTTCTCCGAATATTAGACCCTATTCAGAGGGCACCACCACAACACCCTCACAGGTTGCCCTCCCATCTCCCAATGAAATGAGTACATGCTATACCAAAGACATAACACACAGCGGCAATGACAACATACCTGAACGATCAGCTGCTACTGGGAAGGACCAGGAACACTACGTCCAGAATAGAGTCAGACTGCTCTCCAATACGCCTCTAACCATCATCCACATCTCCCTAAATGCCGGTATGAGTCTGATGGCTCTGGCAACTCTAATGAGTCGAAGAGCTCGTAGGACCTGCCAGAGTAACATCTAGACTCTTTCCTATGTAAATTGACGATGTGGAGTACCTGCAGTTGGCGCGTCCAGTCTGACTGTAAATTAAGGGGTACTAGGATCCAAGACACGAATATACCTAATCTAACGGCGATACTTCTACGATGGGAGTGAGAGATTTATATTTTCTAAATCATGATTATAGAGAACGTCCGCTTTACGGTGGAGTCTTATCACCTAACAACACGAGTAAGGTGTCCATCATATTCACAGGATATAGCAACCAGATCCAAGTATTCGCTGCAAGTCGGAGTAGCCACTCGGAGAGGAAGATCTGAACAAGGTGTGGTATGCATAGTAACTGACATCAGCCCACCAACGTGAAGGCTTGGTCAGTGACGAAGAAGAAAGCGTCGAGACCTCCATCAGGACTCTCAGGATAGTAGGTCGATTGCCAAGCAATGATCACACAGTTGAGAACGATTAGGAAACCTACAACAAGGAATTATGAGCCGAGGGAAACCGGTGTGGGAGAATATGCACTTGGTCAACTACGTATGTTGGTGACGATATGAGAATTCTGAGGAAATTTCGTGAAATTCTAGGGGGTTTTTGTTCACTTCTACCCTAATTCGTGTGTAAATTCTCATAGTATAGTGAGGAACTTGAGCTCAGCTGAGCTGAGGAGACCAAATATATATTTCAACACTGAGGAAAGCTGAAGGTGGTCAGTAAAGAGAACAACGAGCCAAACTAGATGTAAAGAAAAGGTGGAGATGAATAGTTGCACACGGATGTGGGGAAAGTATAGACTCGCACCCAAGACGCCTTTCCAGGTCCCCACCGAGAGCTCGCATGCCTACCTATGGCCACATCAAACTGTATGCTGTTGACAAACACTAATGTACGGGATGGCCGAGAGGGGTAGTCTTCTGATGTCACCTCTGCTGATTTCTTATCAATGGACCTCTGTAGTCGCGATGAGCCGTCAAGTACAGTAGCCATCACCACTTTACCGCGATTCCTGCTAATCCCATCGCTCTCAATATGCTTGTCAGGGCAGGTAACGCACTTCCCAGTTGAGGAGGCTCCTATGCTAGCGCCTGGTCACTTCCACCAAGGTCACACTCACCTCTGTATCAGACGTCTCGGTCAGCACATCGTGTTCTGCACAAGCCGCCGAGGCCTCAGAGGCAGACACTGTACTATCATCAGGTGACTGAGAGGGGCATCTATTCGGAGGTCTACCGTTGAGGGTGGTGTACGTCGAAATGTCTGGTGAATCTAGGCGCCCAGTTGCTCCTCATACATGCTATGCATTAGCCATTAGTACAGCACTGAGATCATCCCCTATCGCAAGATTCGACTCTGCCTACTGCGAGGTTCCTTAAACTTGTTCCCATTGATCACTCTTTAACACAAGCACGACTCAGCGTCGGACACCTCAAAGGGAATACTGGTCACGGGACGACTCGAAACTTTTAAGTTGAAAGAATAAACCAGCTTTGTTATCATTGAAACGACGTCCCTGCAGGTGGTTCACAATTGTCGTTGAGTCACAGCACAGTCGCGCACGTCATAAGTGGTAATTGTCAGACAGAAGGTGCGCTCACCTCGCGCACTCCCATGGGATGAGGTTTGTGCGAGGAAAGTTAAGATACTTACCGATTGACTTCTCTGTGCCAGCTGAACCGAAAATTCGAAATTGGTCTGATTTTCGCGCGCGCCCCAACTCTGGCGGTTTCGACCTGTGGGAAAAGGGGCAGTTGTTACGGTAGCATGACACATATAAGCGGAGCGCAGTATCATTCTCCCTATGGTGTCTCAGCCTTCCATCCCTCCAGCGCAGGATCGATGCTATGAGGCTACAATAGAGGCGGCTTTGAAGAGAGCCTTCGCAAGCGGATCTTTGAATCTTGCGAGTGCGGGGCTAACCACAGTAAGTTTTCGTTTCCAAGGAAATGACCGATAAGTAGAATAGGCATTTCTCACTAGAGCCTCGACAGCTTCCTGCAGACGTTTTTCGTCAGTCGCGATTAACTCCGGTGCCTTTGATGAGTTCTTGAATTCAACGGATTCCGTCGTCCACGTTTTTGCGAATACTATTCTGTGAATGCGGTTATCAGGTTCCACAACAGCTGGAGAAGTTGGACACCTTCACGCTAGACGGTGTGAGTTGGTGGCAATGCAACAGTATAGAGAAGGTCGACATTTCCGGTAACGAAATTCGTGAGATACCCACAGGCCTCTTCGAGCACATACCCGACTGTCGAAGCTTTAACGCCAGCGACAATCGCATCGAGTCGCTGCCGATCGCCTTGTTGGGCTTGGCGAAATTAAAATCTCTACTTCTGATTCGGAACAAGCTCACAATTTTCCCGACTTCCGAATCTCCGAGCTCTCTTGTTGAAGTGCGGCTTTCACACAACAGCTTGTGTGAACTACCGAGAGGCTTTGCAGATGTCCTCCCTAATGTGCAAGCTCTATCCATCGACCACAACCATCTGGTGAACCTCGATGAGCCTCTACCGACTCAGCTCAGAGTCTTGCTTGCGAGCAGCAATGAACTTGTGTCAATCCGAGGTGTCGGGGACGGCCTCGATTTCCTCGAGGAGCTTGACCTCTCGAAGAACAGCCTCACCGCGATTCCCGATCTACGTTGCTGTAGCCAACTTGGCAATATCGACCTTAGTCATAACAAGCTGGTGCATTGGCCAAGGCTTGGGGAGAAGGTGCATACGCTAGCCTTTTCTTACAACTCCCTCGAGTCGCCCCCTGAAGCTGCTCTTCTACCTCCTGCTCTCGTCACATTGTTACTAGATAACAATAAAGTGAAGGGCGTGCCTGGGGGTGTGTTCGCTCTTGATAAGCTCAAGACGCTAGACATGAGCAACAACGATATCTCGAGAGTACCAAGCGAACTTGGCCGCCTCCCCTCGCTGACCAAAGTGGCGTTGGATGGAAATCCGATTCGCAATGTGCCGATGGCTGTACTGCGCCAAGGCAGCGCAGGCCTGTTGAAGTTGCTGCGAGAACGTCTTGGACCGGACGAGGTCTCTGTTGACGATGTACAAGAAGCGTTGATGACGGAAGTCCGTAATGCTACGCATGGCGGGAAACGACTCGACCTCTCTAATCGACGGCTAGGTCCCGGCATCCCGGAGGAAGTCCTACAGGCTGAAGGCCTTCTAGTGTTGGACTTGAGCCGCAATATGGTAGCGGAGATAGAAGTATTGAAGAGTTTAGACACTCTTCTGCGTCTTGTTATGAGCCACAACGTCCTGAAGACTATCGATGCGCTGAATTACCCGGCCCTGCAAGAGCTGGATATCAGCAATAATAAGCTGACTAAGCTACCTGGGGAAATCTCCCTACCACAACTTGTCCAATTTGATGCAAGTTGTAACCGGGAGCTCATCAGCCTGCCGAAGAGTCTGCTGATGGGCTGCGCAAAACTGCGGGAGCTGAGAGCGGGTAACTGCTGTCTTCACAGTTGGGACTTCCTGCCGAACCCTGAGCACCCGCATCTTGAGGTCTTAGACTTGTCAAATAACCGATTCACAGATATCCCAACGGACCTAGTCCCGACCCGCTTGCCTGGTGAGCAGGGTTCGGTCTCAGCCGTTGGGCAACCACCTCGCAATAGTAGGTCTGCAAACTCTCCTGCTCGCCAACAACGCCATAGCGACATTACCTCCTTCTCTTGGTCGAGCTACAGCCTTGAGGAGCCTTACTTTGGAGGGCAACCCTATAAGGTCTGTTCCACAAGTGAGAGGAAGAAGAGAGTCTATTCTGATGTAGTTGCTACATCAGGCTACTATTCGCCAAGGCGCGTCTGCTATACTGAACTGCTTACGTAAGCGTTATCTGCCTATGGTCGAAGGTGGCCCCCAGGAGTGCACTGGGCAATCTGACGCCAGTAGGGACAACCTTGAGAAGGAGGTGCGTACAGTATCTCCCTTCTGGTGTTGTCGACCCCTCGTAGGTTGAATCGCTGGAAAGCAGACTAGCCGCAGGTGGGCATTCTCAAGCTGTGGAGTACAGTCTAAAGAAGCAGCTCGCCGTAGCACGAGCACGACTGAAGCGCCTCTTGAGGACTACAACCGCGGCGACTCATGAACCTGTGACTTAATTCGGGAGCAGTTTCTCCGAGAAAATTCAGTGTTAGTTAAAAGATCTATAAGGCTTGTTGTCATCGTCTGCGTTCTCTTTGATTGCCTTCTCACTCTCCCATGGTAGTATCTTCCCGCATTCGAGCGTTCTCTATGCCTAGGGTAAGGGAGGCTTACGCTCGATCTCCTGTTCTTGCTAACTCTGCGACGTCTTTTGTCTGCTATGCTCTCAGTGACATTATAGCTCAACGTGCTGATGCGAATAATGACGAGAAAATCGACGGTGTGAGACTGCTTTCTGTCAGTCTCTGTGGGCCGATCCTCGGTGGTGTTTGCCTCACCAAGCTCTACAAGAATCTTGATCGATTTCTCGGTTCTGGTCACAGTCTCAAGGTGGCAGCGCGAAAGATACTCTTCATGCAAATCGTCTACATGCCCTTTTCTGTCTCCACCTTCATTTTCCTGTCATCGTCGCTAAACGCGTTTCTCAAGGGCGAGAGGCTCACTGTTGCTTGTGGCGAGGCTTCGGCCGTCACCAACTTGCGGTGGAGGGAAGCGTACTGGACGTCGTGGTTCATATGGTCCGTCTCTGATGCCTTCAACTTCACACTCGTGCAAAGGCATATGCCAGCTGCTCGGCCCACATGGGACGCGGTTGTCATGGTCGCTTGGAATGCCTATTTGAGCTGGCGTGCAATCGGTGGTCACTCTATCACTGTAGTTTTATTTCCTGTTCGCATGGCGAATGTATAATAATGCAACTGAATGTTTCGTTGTAGTAGTGAGGCAGTGTTGGGGAAATATATGTTCGGTCCCCCGGGAGCTTCTCACTAAGTAAAAGAATTTATTTGCGAGCTAAGGGTAGAATTATCCAGGAGTCAGCAAGAATTTCCCCAAAAAATCTTTCTCGAACCTTTCACTGACACATGTAGTTGACCATGTGCATATTTTCCTACACTGTACTGACGGGAGTCCACTGCAGACACGTTGCTCAGCGAAGGCCCTAACGATTTGTGACCGGTGGCCATTCGCTTTATTCATACACGTTTCTCGCCTTCCTTCCGGAAGACAAAGGCCACCATGACCTCCTAACACTGCCGACTATGGTCAGCTATCTCTCACTCTCAGTTTTACTACCCAATGGTCGCTTCCGCCGTAGCACGAGTGTATCGGCGATCGCCCATTCTAGCTAACTCCATCTCCTCCGTATTTTTCTTCGCTCTGAGTGACTGGTTCGCACAGAAAGCCGAGAAGGCCTCCGATCACATGGACAAGAAGAGGGTTGCAGCCGTTGCGATGTGCGGCCCGATATTCAACGGCCTTCCTCTGACGCTCTTCTATGAGGCTATGGACAAGCACATTGGGACCAAGGCGACCTTTCGGGTGGTTGGTCGTAAACTTCTCGCTATGCAATTCATCTACATGCCGATTTCCATACCATCTTTTCTGTTTCTATCTACTTTGTTCCATCGACTTCTCTTGGGAGAAGAGGTCAGTCGAAGCGTCTATCGAGCAAAGGAGGCAGCAACGAGCAAATGGGCAGAGGCCTACCTAGCCTCGTGGTTTGTGTGGCCTGTCTCCGACACCTTCAACTTCACTGTAGTTCAGAAGATCTTCCCCGCGGCCCGACCTACATGGGACTGTGTTGTTGATGTGGGGTGGAACGCCTATCTCAGTTGGAGAGGCATTGGTGGGCACTCAATCACAGAATTTGCTGCTGCCCGACCGTGACGTTTCCGGCCTTGTCCAGAGTGCTTCGTTACGCTGTCATCACATTGACACGGAAGCTTTCATCGTTAGCCTCCCGCCCTGAGGGTCTACATAGTTGCTTCTAGTCTTAATGCTCGTCTCCTCGTTACGCAGGCTCATCGTCTTTCTCCTTGTCGAGAGCTCATGTGTAGCCTCGGCACGGCAGATCTCGGAAGGGTCAGTTGTTGCGAGGAAGACCGAACTTGCACAGTGCTTGGAGAAGGTAACTGCGTACAATAGGCCGTCGTGAAGTCTTTCCCTGCCATCATCAGAATGAGGCACTCGAGGCCCAAGTAGCTCATCTCGGGAGACACGTCGAGGTACGGGAGACGTTTTCTTCAAGGTCGCATAATATGCGGTGGCGTTGGCTTAGGCGATGTCTCAAAGCCATGCGGACAATCTCGGGGGTGTCCACAGCGAACTAAATCAGAAGATTGTCGCTTTGGGTGTACTTGAGCGGACTATGGAAGACTTCGAGGCGCGTCTTGAAGGTAGGTGGGTCACGCCCCAAGGCTTTCGAACTACTGCTCTGCATTTCAGCATGTGAAGCAACTGGTGGCGGCGAGAGAAGGCTCACTGAGATCGACCTGGGCAGCGCCTTCGACAGAATAATCGGTAGCGTTACTTCTACTAGGTTGGGAGCAGCTGTCTGCAACGTGTCCTCGCCTATCCTCTCTGCTGCCTCGGTGAGTCGAATACTCGTCTTCCTTCCTGTGATGCGAGTTGGTATTTTCCCTTCAGGGCGCTTGGCCTCTCACCGAGCCCAACAGCTCCTCGGCCTCATCCTATGGTGATTCCCTCTTTAACGCTGTACAAGACTACCTCGATGAGCACATCAATGGGAGGAGACTCGTAGGATTTTCCCATTGCCATTTCGTTGATGTACTCGTCACTAGGTCCTTCCGTCGGGGTTGCTTCCCCGAACACTTCTCATCGTCTCCAGCCTGGTCTTCTCTTACGTCCTCACCGTGACTCTACTGATGCTGTTGCTAGCTCCGTTGAAGATCGGCGGCCTCTTGCTCAAGCATTGAGCTGGATGTGGAGGGTGATTAATTTAATTGTCATCGCGACGCCCTTTTTCACTGAGCTATGATGTTTTTAAGGAGAATTATTGTTATTGTTTGTTGATTAGGAGTCCTTCAATATGAGCGCATCCACTTCCGATAGGTGCCAGTTATCCACTCTAGAGATAACTGGGAGTAAGTAGTGAGTCTACGGTGTAATTGCATAGATTATTTCACCAACACCAGTAAAACGCTCGAGTAGAGTCGAACCAGTCGTAACTTGTCGACCGGATAGCAGCAGCCTCGGTGGACACACTCAGCCCTTTTGCGAGTAGGGTGGAGGTACCCAGACGCACTTCAAAAGTTTCCCAGAAATAGTGAATCTGGCAACTCCTTGTTAACGTACTATAACATCGAGTGTTGTGGGAATTATCAAAACGTAAAGTCTTTTCCGGTACCATGTTTGGCAGCCTCGTTGAAATATTTCTCTGATACTATACCTTCAATTCCTAGTACGCAGTGTATTGCGTTTGAAAGGGGTTAATGATGAAGTCGTGCTGGCGGAAAACTCCTCAACTTAACGAACACGAAACAATAATCGCCAAGGGAAATGATACAAATTGATTATACGTTCACAGAATGTCCCCCAAACCGCCCGTGGGCTCCTCTTCCATAATAGGTCGTTTCGATCGTGCGGGGACTCTTCCGGATTCAGTCGCGTAGCTGCTCATCAGCAGGTCTAACTCTGACATCACTGGTAGACGTTGGGGCTTCCCTGGGACACTCCGAGAGATTGCAAAGGCAATGATCATCACCACACCCACGCTCAGCATCGACCAAAAGACGCGCACGCTGTACAATGAGACTTGGAAGCTCGGATGCAGAATATTCAGACATCTCGTTGAGCTCCCTTGACAGGGTACGACATAGCGCGGATAGATGGTCAGTGCCGGCCGGAAGAGGCCTTCCGACCATGAGTGGTTAATGGAGCCTAACATAGGGGTCACTGCTGTGACATAGGCCACACCACAGAGGAATGCGGTAGAATGGGCCAGCGAGCCGAAGTCGAGGAAGGACTTTCGCTGCTCGGAAGTGACTAGGTCCATGCATAATTGTAGGGCTGCTATGAACAGCCTGACGGAAACAAAGGATGAGTCGGGCGGTAGTGTCACACCCGCGCCGGCAAGCAGGACATAGAGAGTAATGATGGCACCGTCAACAGCATAGCAGACCGTGGAGAGGCCACCGAAGACGATATTCCAATTGTCTCTCAGTCGACCACACGACCCAACAAGCACTGATGTTGCCGTGGCGAGGACAATAAGCGTAGCCAAGTGTTTGGAGCCGATCCCACAGAAGGGATAACAGAAACCAGCGGAGATGGGCGCCGCGCCACACCGTAGGTTGGCCCCACCAGGGAGCTCGATGTCAGGAGTGGATTCTAAGTCCAAGCTGAAGAGCAGGTGAATAGTAGATACCATGAGACTGGCGAAATCAGGGTGGACCAGAGGGAATGTGAACACCCGCCACACCTGGAAGTGACGGAAAAGCGGCGCCGGTTGAAAGGTTAATTCATCTGATCAATAAGGAGAGACTTCCGAATCATCTCTGAACCGTGTCAAGACCCACCCTTAACAGCTGCTACTGTTTGTGGTCTGACAAGACCTACCACCCACTGAAGGAAATAAAATCCCAACGCGGCAATAAGAAGGCTAGTCATCACAGGACAGGCTTCGACAGTGGCGCTGACGGAGGCCATCGGCCACACTATCGGGAGGATAAGAAGACTGGGCACTCGTTTCACAGTGTTGCCCAGGCTCCACATCAGCCTTGGTCCTCCCACGGCCAAGGCCAGGGCCACTAGCAGGAGCCTAGGGTGAAGGCGATTCCGACGGGACATGGGAAACGCCTAAATTTTACCATCAAGTACAGTAGTCAATAAACCACCCATAATAGAGACAACTCAAAACCAGCAATATGCGAGGAACAGAGACTCCAACTGAAGCAGCACCAATGAAGCGAATTGTTGGAGGGAGTTCAAATGTGCTTCTCCATAAATTCACGAACTTCTTGACGAGCGGAGCCAGGCACTACATGGCCGCCGTCATGATAAATCACTACTGGTTCGGAGAATACCGCCTTGAAGGTGTTGAACCGGTCTTCTGGGACCACCTGGTCCTTCTTGCCATACAGCAGCATCACAGGCATCTGAGAGGCAAATGGTAAGAAAAAGGGGGAAAGACAACTACCGTCTTCACTAACGAGGACTTTTCTATCTCCTCGACAAGCGTGGGATTCTGCGGTAAATTACCACTGGCACAAATAAGAAACTTGACCTGCAAGGGAAACATGCCCAGAAGACGGCACAGTAGACTAGTGACTACATTAGCAAAGGCCTCAGGATGCTGAGCCATCGCTACAAGGACAGCTGCGCAACCCAGAGAGAACGTGAAGATACCCTTAGTATCGGGAGTGACTCCCTCGACAATCGAAGTGACATCCATCTGAAACGGCAAGGCGAGTGGCCAACGCCGTGGCTTCCATGGCACTGACTTTATCTTGTCCCCGAGGTATCCCGGGTTGCCGCCAGGTGAGCAGATCCTCATCATCCGAATCGTGGGAAAATCGATCTTCCAAGGGAACCACATAAGGACCCTTGACGAAACTGAAACTCTACGGTAGCCCTTTACGAGACTCAGCACTAATCCCATAGAGCTAAGTCAGGTCAATCCCCTCGAATTCAACCCTGTATTACTCGAATTGGACCAAGGACTTGCATTTTCGCCTTATGGGTCCGATCTTATTACTAAATCGCTCCGGAGTCTGGGCATGGCCATGGACACACAAGAGCCTATTCGAATGCTCGCCACCTTCTGAAGAACTGGTTGATGACACTGTGGACTTGGACGGCATGGTCTGATTGATCTAACTTAGCAGCAACTACAACGGACGGTATCCCATGGGACCACTTTGGAACGCAACACCATCAGCATCATCACTGTACACTTAGAAACAGAAATTTAGTCCAAACCACCTATAAGTTACTCAGACAAAGCACTCTGAATGAACGCTTTCACGTCCTTCCGAGCCTCTGACGGGACCATGTGGCCCTTAGCGTGTTCAAATACAACAGGGTCAGTGAACATCTTAGCAACTCTAAGGCTGCGTTCTTCGGCGACTACCTGGTCTGACTTGCCACAGATGAACATTGCCCGAACCTGGCAGTGTGCGAGTGAACAAGAGACGGAGAAACAGAGAAGTCGCATTACCTTGGGCCAGAGGGGGCAGGCACGAATCTCTGCCTCCTGCTCAGAATTGTTCTGTGGGAAGAATGCACCACATAATATGATGAACTTGACCTAAAACCAGTGAGAAGAGTTGCCAAGCAACTTGCAAGGGGACGATAACTCACATTTTCGAACGCCTTAGGGTACCGAGCCATTGCGAGAAGGATGGCAGGGCAGCCCATAGAAAAGCCCAACAAACCCTGTGTCTCCGGGGTCATGGCCTTAGCGATACCTTCTACATAAAATTCTCCCAGGTTCTCCTGAAGTCAGAACATTTCAAAACCATGCACTCCCTAATGGGCCTACCGGGCTCTCCTTCTTGGGATCGACCCAAGTGTAGGTCTTCTCGCTATCCGGATCGTGGCTGGCGAAGACGTCATCCGGAGGGACCTCATAGGGCCCTTGCAAGAAACTGGAGAGACAGTGACGATAACAGCTCCTCACCGCGACATGAATGCCCTACTCAAAGTGGACCAGTTTCTTGCATGGCCTTCTCATACCGCCAGTCTTTTGATGGAAGCCCTCAGGGCTCTGAGCATGACCGTGAACGCAGAGAACGCGATGGGTCAAAGTAGGATCACTCTCCCCAGAAGTCGAACTGGCTGTAGATGCAGCTACCATAGAGAAAACGTCAAAGAAGACTAAGAAGAGTTCCACCTACTTTGAACCACAACGACACCAGCAATCGCACGTACAACAAACTCATGGACGGTTCTAGCGTATCTACGACCTTTACGCTTAAGCGGGAAGATACCTTTCCCCTAGACCACCAGAAGGGGACACACTCGACACAAACCAACAAAGCGCCTAATGTGGCTCATGGAGTGGTGGAGACACAGCTGATACCAACTTGAAGGAATCGTCGCAAGGTTATACTAGCATACCGCAGGTTTCCCCTCGATAGAGGTACCCGCACTGGAGGCGACCCAATGCTGCCTCAACAGACTGTGCTGATGATGGTTGTCAAGGGTCACCTTCCTAGTCCATAGGGCAGGGGTCCAGAAGGATACCTTCCCCCGCCACGGTGGTGGTGAAGATGGCCCGCTGATACTCTTCTCAACACAATTTTTGAACGGCCACATTTCGCTTTCAGCAAGACCAATGTCATCGCCCGGGGCACCTATGCCATCACCCAAAGATATGCCTCATGCGGGGCACCTATGCCACCACCCCAAGATATGCCTCGATACAATGAATTACTCCATGCGGGGCACCTATGCCACCACCCCAAGATACGCCTCGATACAATGAATTACTCCATGCGGGGCACCTATGCCACCACCCAAAGATATGCCTCGATACAATTAATTACTCCATGCGGGGTACCTATACCACCACCCCAAGATACGCCTCGATACAATTAATTACTCCATGCGGGGTACCTATGCCATCACCCAAAGATATGCCTCGGTACAATTAATTACTCCATGCGGGGCACCTATGCCATCACCCAAAGATATGCCTCGGTACACCCAATTATTCCGGGCGGGGCAGGTATGCCATCACTCCAAGATGTGCCTCGCTGCAATCGTTTTCGCAGGAAAATGTGATGGAAAGATCATTTTGATTACACGACTAAACTTCGATTCCGACGATTTGTGGGGATCAATTTCGCCGTAAGTAAGTTCGATTTCGCTTGGGGCAGATATGCCACTACATAACCCCACTGCGGCATGATTGTTGCCGTCTTCTGAAGGAGAGACGTCTGATGAATGGGATTTTGGGCTGCCGTAGTGGTTACAGCATAGGCGCCGGTCTCGATACGGCATATCTTGATTGATTTTACACGGGGCGAGATATGCCGTCAAAAGGTGCATAGCGAGATGGGCCAATAACAACTGTGGAAGTAACCCAATCGTCTCAGCACAACAACAACCACCAGGAAGACCGAGAATGGTGAACAAGTTCAAAATGGTGGCAGAGATGGCGCTCATAACACTCGGCGGTCGCAGCAGCGAGGCCGGCTTCTGCATACCCTCGACCAGCCAAGTGGCAGTACACAGCATGTGAGTTGGGTTTGTAGGGCGTGACAGCAGATGGAATCTGTGGGGACCTTTTCTTTGTCGATCGGCTACTCGCATGAAGGTAAGAAGATCAGGGGATCCTTTAGAAATGCATGCACTACTGGAGACCAGAGACTTGAGATACAGTGAGCATCTATAGACAGACAATTTGTGACCAAATCAGCATCCTCTATCGACAGTAGTCTGTTGATGCAACCACGCAGTCACCTCTGTGGGACAGCTTTGATGGGTCCACGGTTAACTCCTATCAGGTCACAACACTGAAGAGTAGTGCAAGCACCAGCAGCAAGCAGGGCGCCTGCTGCCCCCAGGAGAAACGGTACTGCTTCGCCGAGGTCGTAGGAGGGTCCAGCTAAGCCTGTACCGACAAGACGGCCGATGCCTTGGGAGAAAGACATGTAGCCCATCATCTCGCCCTTCCTGATATGCGGCGCCAAAACAACTACAATTCCCGGCAAGGCACTGTAGATAGAAGAAGTGGTGATCCCCAACAACACCCATTTGATAGCGAGAAAGATCCAAGGATATCCGAATATCAGAGGCAGGAGTAAACTGGTGAGGCCATACATTGCGATAGAAGCGGTGACCACTGCAATGGCGCTGTGACCAGCCCGACCACTGAGGAAGACAAAGATGTAGGAGCCGAGTATAATCATGGAGCCATCACCAAGATATGTAATTCCGGCTAGCACAGGAGTCATATTGAAGCTGTCCTTGAGCAACAGAGGCGTTGCAACACTGACCACAGAGTTGATGAAGCCAGACATCATGGCTGTGAAGTAGAGTACGGAAAACGCTCGCCATGGGACCCTCTCCACGGCGGACTGTTGAAGCAGTGGCCCATCCGTCTGATGAGCCATGATATCCCTCGGATGATGTGATTCTGGTAGGTCTAGGAAGATCAAAACGGTGACCACCGCTGCCACCATAGCAGTCGCATAGAAAGGAGCTCTCAAACCTAAAATCGATAGAAGGCCACCAACGCCTGGGCCTGCTGCCATACACAATCCTGGTATCATATTCATATAGCCGAGATAGGCCCTCTGTTTGCTAGGGATGCTCACTGTGTCCGCCACATAGGCCATAGCTACTGGGCGACCACCACCCGCCAAGCCATTGAGGATACGAAGAACTACGAACCACCAGAAGCTGTTGGTAATGGCTTGAAGCAGATACGCGAGAGTGATGATAGCCATCGAGACCAAGAGCAGCGGTCGACGACCTAGCTTGTCCGAGAGCCTCCCCAAAGCCGCTGGCGAGAACGTCATTCCCACCGCATAGGACAGCATACAAGTTGAATAGGCAGCCCCGCGAGACATGGTCTCACAGCCTTCCAAATGGGCAGAGGAGGACGGGTCTGTCAAGATGGGTATTATATTGAGGGCCATTGTCATCCCCAAGAAGTCGATAAGGACGACCAGGCATACCAGGGCTATACGAAATCCTCCTCCACCGAGCGAACACTCTGCTGTCGGTGTAGTCATAGGAACAACACGCTGCACATTCTACAGCAGACGATAGAATGACGACACAGATCCTCCACTAAGCGTTCGCCTGACCATGAAAGGTCCCTCGCCAGCACTGAACTCGAGATTGGAAGTATGTGTACTCACTCGAATGTCATCTATGATGTATCGATTTTATAATCGAGTTCGAGCCCACCGTCGATATTTAGGACACATTGAAGAAGTCCGAAGCAGTGGGGACATCAGACCAACCACTATTACTATGAATATGCCATATTCAGCAATGCCCATATTCAATACGGGCATCTCTGATACACAATATGATGAGCTAAAGGCATGCGAGTCGACCTTTGCTGCTTGACATGAAGCTTAGAGTTATGGAGGGACTCTGGGAGATAGAGGTATAATCCGGGGCCGTTCGAAGTCTTTCAAGATGTTAGGCTACCTCACGAACTGCTACACAACAGAGCACATCATAAATACAATATGTTCTGACACTGGTCTCACGAAGACTGATTCCCTATTGCATCACTTCCACGAGTATTCATACCAAGCCCACCAATATGTGTTTGACCTTCAAATGATGTTTGATGCTTCCTACCGAAGGTAGAAGAAGGGTAGGCTACCCTTCTGCCCTCCTCACAAAACCTCATTCCGACGCAACCGGCTCTCAAGAAGACCCGTACCCGTACAACCAATCTTGACAGCTACCTTATCATGTTACTACCTCCGACCCTCTAGATCCAACCTACTCCTGTAATCCCCACTCCGAAATTATTGCGTGGTCTGTCTGTAGGGCATGCTTGAACCAAGTTTCCATCATTTTTTGTACATCATAGTCGACGAATTTGATCACCTTGCTCGTATGTTGCTTCGAATGCAACTCGCCAAACTACCAACAACAGAAAGCATGACGAACGCATTTTGAGCAGAGCCTATGCGACTACGATTTCAGAATATAATGTGTACAGGTTCATCCAGCCGAACGCCCAATCCAGGTGGAGTGCATCAAATATGTCTAAAATCTCAGAAACTTTAATGCTTCTCCGATCAAAATCAGGCGATTCCTAATAAGAAACGGTTCCTTAAAAGCTTGCTAGCCATTCCTTTCTTCTACACTGTATAGATTCCATGGCGAGCGATGAGATCGATGGCCTTTCGAAATAGGCTCTAGCATACGCGCAATTTGCTCAGAGCAAGTTGCTCCTAAACCTGAGGCGAAATTGTGGTCATCTTGACTCAAATTCTTATTATTATCGTTATGATGGCCACTACCAGCAAAGACTCTCAGTCAGAGTCTTTGAGTAGTAATGATGCTTGGCTTGAGAGCAAAGGGGCCTTGAACACAGGAAGCTCGTCCCAAGGCTTCAGAAGTGTTCACACCCTTGCGTCACATCAATGGAGCGGAGGCAGTTAGGTATGAGGTGATTCCCCCCGCCGGGCAAGGTCTGCCGTCTATACGGGTGCCAACACCCGGGCTGTTGGCATGTCTAATTTCACTAGGGCTCATCCACATCCCTGCCAGCTCAATTCGCTCTAACAATCCCGGCTTGATCCCGATGCATGTGAACTCCGTGATGCTCGGTTTCCATAGTACCATTCCAACAATATGACACTGAGGATTTTGTGATGCTAGACGTAGGCAGACGCTACTTCCTGTGCATGCATGCGGCTTTCGCGTACTGCGGTTTTAGTCCAAGCTTAGTGCGAGTTCTGTCCGAAATCTGTGCTAGCCTAGCTGATGGCACTGCTAGATATATATCAACAGAGTCTAGCTTTGAGTTATTTTAGTTCGGAATGGCAGTTACGCCATCAGGAAAGATTACTGCGACGTAAGTGCGACGTAATCGTGATACGGATGTTATAGTGAAGGTACATCGCAGACGAGTAAAGGAAAAGATGGGTCATGTTTCCCATGCGCAGTGTGTAGGAAAGGAGTCAACCCATGGTACCTCGGTTGCTCTCACTGGTTACTCGAGACCTTATAGGGAGGCTCAGCGCGCGCTGCGCAGTAACGTCAATGCGCCCACTTGGCGTATTGCCATCAGTAGTTCCCCTAACTGGGATAGAATTTATCTTGGTTGGATTCTTTAGGTTCATCCCGAGTAATAATCAGCAATTGGATAATCCACGATTGACATTATGTTTGAATTTCAGTCTCTACGTGAAGTCTTACTGTTCATTCGGACCTTGACAGTTGAACTGTCACAGTTCATTTGCAAATTAAAATTTGCGCATTGTAGGTTGTTGAGAACAGCCAACAGCAGCCTGTTGCAGAGGTGGATTTTGGGACGAGCGTGACCAGGTAATATAGGGGTTGCCATATCTCGTTAATTTTGTATATCTCAATCATCGTTGATGGCAGCAACTTGCTGCATCAAGAGATATTATCTCCTTGATCTCGGAGATATTATCTCCTTACTCTGCTGAGCGTTATCTGTGACGATAATGTTATCCTATAATGTGACGATAATGTTGGTTTTGACTCTATAATGGTAGGCCACCATGCTATCATTGACAACGGTAGCATTGAATTCCATCATTCACAACACGATTTCATATCCAGTGTATATTGTCCGCATACCTCTCTCGGTATAGGCATGATCACTATGTTACAAGGTATTGAATTGGAATGGGTTTCACCTCAGTTTCATTAAAATATTTTATTAATGTTTTTTTACCACTCTCAACCCTCGCCAACGCGCTCGTATCGCCGTCGTTTCCTCATGTTTCTCTGCTGGCTGGAGGCATTTGGGATCCCAAATGACTTACGGGTGCTCATCTACAACTACTTTGTGCTCTATCCTCTCGCACTGTATGGTACAAGCGACTGGCTTCCTGTTAGTGGACCCGTTTCAGGGGGTTCTCTAAGCGGTTGTGAGAGCCTGACTGAGTATGCTAGTACTACTAATGGCCGTGGCTTCTTTTACTTCTATAATTGTGACTAAGGACGACGGCGACGGTGACTAAGGCGACGTGGCGGCGGCAACTTTCGATGAAAGCAGACTAAGGTCCCACGAATTCCTTTGCCTCGAAAAGCGGCGCATATCGCCCTTCCCCACGATGGCAACGAAAAATATTCGAAGGCGCTATAAGGCTGGCAACTTTACAACGTGATTGTGTGTGTCTCACTTGCCCGTTTCTTCAACTTCTCGGTTTCTCTGTAGTGTGATATCAGTGTCTCGTTAAACATTGATATCAGTTCTGGACTCACTTTTATATGGTGTCACTATAATGGTGAACCAGAGGGTAATACTTTTACGGTATGCGAACTAAAATGGAGGTGGTATTTGATAAGGGCTCAAACACTTGAAATAGTCAGCTCACGAGATCATAGCTCAAGCATCCGAGTAACTCAGTGTCACTAATGGGGATCAATCGTTGATTTGCATAATGCGTCACGGATCAGCATCAAGAATTAGAAGCTAAGGGTGAGTCGCCTTCATGAGTCTTGCTCAAGAATCTTGCGTCTTACTCTGTTATCATGCATTTCGCTCACTAGCTCTACGTCTTGGGTTGATTTCTCTTGCACCCGAGATCACAGGGTGATTTTACTCGAAAATCTAACTCTTGAGGGGTAAGCGGTGGCGGTTCCGTAGCCGCCCAGGTACGACTACACAATGGAGTTGTAGGCCGGCTAGAACTGGGAGCCGCAACACGGCTCTGTCATATACGTAGGTCGGAGAGCATCGCCACGGCTGAGTCCTTAGCGAGACATCTGGAAGAGCTGGAGGACAGCGCCATTACTCTGCCTGTACATATACGAAACTCCAGAAGGCTCGATGAATTAGTCCATGATAAATCTGAGTGACTGTGTAGGTTTCTTGCTGTGATTCGTGATTATGAGTTTCATATTCTGATGAGATCCGAGCTAATAGCCAACGTATAGTTCGCGGATTTTAGGTCACGCAATGCTCCGCTAAAGATCATCTCATTAAAATATCACCATGTCTAATACACTGTTGAAGTCAATCTCGTCGGGAAAGCCAACCCCCTTCCTAGGGGTTATACTGTGTATGTATGTGGAGTTGCTTCCGAGTTGTTTCATCTCCGAATCGACAATAGGTGTTGAAGGCCAATATTACCGGCCACTACTGGCATGGTTTCTATCCTGACTCTCTCCTCTCGGTTGCTAGCGCTATTTAAAGCTGCTACAATTCATGTTCGGTTCGGGAATGCTCTTATTCCTGAAATATTAGGCAGTACTGCACCATCCCATTCCAAGCTTACCTCGCTTCCTACTCCCTGTGGTAAGGCTTAGTCCAACCCTGGTGAGCTCAGTTGGCTGAGTAAAGTCGGAGCCCTCATGATTTTGTGTTCGAGCCCGATTGTTCTCGGCAGAAAAGTTGCCATGTTCAGCAGAAACGAGGAAGCGAACAGCGAGCTTCCGGTAAAGAAAATTTCCGTCAGTGCTGACGTGCTCGAAGCATAGAAACATATTATACTGAAGTTATGAGACGTCGATAGATGGGTTCAGAAAAGAGGCTCTCTTTGAATACCATGTATCATCAAGTATCCCAAATGAGCCAGATTGTTGAGCATAGTGATGAACCAATGTCAGACCAAGTTCTGCATCATTCTAAATGACAACGGTGATCGATTCATCTCGCTCTCCGACGATCTCATCGACCTCGTCTTCTTCAGAGGAGTCAGCTGCACCCGATAATGTAAAAGAGGCTGCGCCGACCCATAGACTTCTAGGAATCTCCCTAGGGGTAGCCTCGGCATTCTTCTTTTCTCTAACACAACTCTGTGTGCATCATGCGAGCGTGCATCTATCCAGCGCGGAGATAATGTTCGCACGTTGCGCTGTTCAAAGTCTCGTCTCTGGGCTTCTGGCTATCTCTATTGGCATCAACCCACTGGGCATCACTGGAGCTCGATTCATGTGTTTGCTCCGTGGTGCTTTGGGCTCTCTCGGCAATTTCCTTTTGTTGTATGCCGTGAGTCGTATTCCGATGGCTGACGCTAACACTATCTTTTTCACTAATCCCATCTTCACAGTCATCTACGCCACATGCCTTCTCCATGAGCCCACAGCCAGGGTTGAGGTGGCTTCCCTCATAATGGGGTTCACTGGTGTTATTCTGGTCATGCGTCCTACAACCATGTTCAACAGCTTGCATGAATCTCCATCTCCAATTACCGAGTCGCCACTCGCTCTCGCCGCCTGTATTCTTGGCGCAGCTGTGAGTGGCCTTGTACCAATTATAGTCCGCCGAATCGGCGAGTCAGTGAATCATCTTTGTCTGGTCTTCTACTTCGGGATCACTGGTACTCTCCTGGCCACTACAATGCTCCTAACGGGGGTACAGCCTCTGACCACTCCCGCATCTGCTGAATCGTTCAAAGCATTCTCTCTACTTGCCCTTATATGCGTGCTCGGCCTCGGGACGCAGTTTACTTTTAACAAAGCGATGCAGATCGAGAAGCCGCAAGTCTGCGCTGTACTTCGGTCTCTTAACGTTGCATTCACATTCATGTGGCAACAGGTGGGCACCGCGGACCCCACTTCCTCCTTGAGCATCATGGGCGCGTGTTTGATCGTCAGTTCAACGGTCGCTGTTCTGTTGTCAAAAATAATCAGAGCTGGAGCCGGCGGAAAGCCTCAAGTCGAGAGCGGCTCTGTGCAAGTATACGGTCGAGAATGATGATTATAACCATTGCCTTGTGACTTATTATCCATCCGAGTAATGTGGTGTGAATAGCGGTGGTTGTGTACTAGTACTTGACTAAACTCACAGGTCGATGAGAAACATAACATCAATGCAAGCCACATGTGACTCATGACACATTCAGATTTCCACATACAAGGTGCTGCAATCGCCTTAATTCTGACAACAGAAAACTCTCTTCTAAGCTCGAAGATCCAAGTAGTCGAAGCAACCTACAGCGCCATGAAAGTGAAGCGCCTGCAAGGTCAAGTGAACCTTACTTGTCGCACACAGCCTTTGCCTGGATAGGATCGGTAATGTCAATCTCGGTAGCCTTGTTGATGTCGAATACCGGGCTAGACCCGAGAGGGCGGATCGACCCACCAAGGTTTGTACGGTGAACAAGTAGAGGAAGGACATCCTCAGCATGATCTGTGATAAGTTTGGGCATACCTAGCGGGTGTCGCACCGACGTTTACAAGAGCTGGCGTGTGGACTCACCGACGGCCCGGCTCAGAGCAATGCCATATCCACAACTGCTAGCCGACTTTCCGGGGTTCAATTTGAACTGAGGCCCCAATGGTCGAGACCCTGTACTGTCTACTGTACACTCGAGCGTAACGTTACGGACAGTATCAGGGTACCTTGGAGCTTGAGTGATAAGACTGTTACACTGATAGTCTCACATTTTCTCCAAGTTAGTAAGATAATGGAAATGGGTCGACAACAACACCCTGCAGTTTGGTATGCCGAGGAGGAACTCGCACGTGGCCCAGCATATCGCAGTCCCTGGTGAGCATTATACCGCTGAGGGATACTAGCACGGACCTCCATCATGAGAAGTGCCTCTGCCAAGCTCGTCTAGGAGGACTAGGGCATTGGAAGAGCTCGTACCAGCATTCTCGAGAACATCAGACAATTCAGTCATCTCGCTACTGAAGCTGGACTGACCCGTGGAGAGGGAGATGCGATCTGACGGGGGCGGTGAACCAGTGGTGACACCAGGAAGGAGTCACCTTCACTATCATCGATCCCTCCACTCCGCACAAACATCATCTGAATCACTTGCATCTCAGCTCGACGTGCGGGTATAAGGCAGCCAATCTGATGAGCAGATGGGCAGATTCAAGAGAGGCTTAGCTCACCTGGGCTAAGACTATATTAACTGCTAGAGTAGTGAGGTAGGTCGACTTCCCCGCCCCGTTGGGAGCAGTGATGACCTGTAGTCGTCCCGACTCATATGATAGCTTGTAGTTATAGGGGGCGAACTGAGATGTGTCACCGTGTCACCGACTCATCCTCTGATGTGATACTTCTTTCCGTTGTGATGCCAGACTACTGTCACCACAAGCAGCTGCTATCGAGAAATTGTGGTTATACAAGGCATACCTGCGGCGAGTAACAAACATCTCTCTGTTAGGAGGAAGACAAAGGAGGACTCAATGAGAGGGTGGCGAGCAGCGTCAATCTCTAATGGCTCCTTCAACCCGCTGTCTGCAGTGATAACTGTGGGGATACACGCCATCCTAGCTGAGCCTGCTGTAGACGGAGCGTATCTAGTATGTTACTAACAGCAGATAGCAATGCCCTTGGAGCCATCACCCTCCACAGTAGATGCTGGTGAAGTTGGCAAAGGCGCACATCATGTCAAGGTGGTTGACCAGGTGTATGCAAGTATAGAGGTATTCAATCTCTGCTCGGACTTTGTCCAAGACCAGCAGCTCCAGCACCTACGTCGTAGCTCTATGAATGATCGCTATTGCGTCCGGAATACTTCACGAAACCGCACCAGTAGGGCCGCCTCTATCTCATGTAGTAGAGTGTTGACTCTGGTGAGGAGAGAGCTGGTCGCTGAGCACCTAGTAGCAGCTGACCCAAGTGTGATGAGCTTAGGAGTACCCACCTGGTCCTGTTGTCCTTTACCTGAGTTAACGCTCCTGAGTCCTCTCCCACCCCTGACGAGCTCGAACATCCTGCATCACTGCCTCCGGCGTCCATCATGGAAGAACCCTCCTGACCATCCATCTTCGGGAACTTCAAGCTTCTGCATGCTGCGATCACTGCCTCCCTGGAGGGGAGCAAAGATGGACAAATATAATAAGAGTCATCACCAGCTCACTTGGCACTCCTTGGGAAGCTTAGATGATATCCCTTTTTCTCGCTGAACTCAAGTCTCACCGCTCCGCTGGTCACGACTGTATTCTTCGAAATCACTTCCTGGTACGTCTTGGCGATGTGGTCAACCTTGCATGAAATGAGCAGCCCTCCCAGGGTGGTAGCTGACCTCGCGTATCCGTTCCCGCCAAGTAGCGCGGGTGATGTCCAGGACCGGGTCAACTCCAGCATGGATAACAGCAGCGATTTGAGCAGTCGCAGTGAAGACCCCCCGACTGGCCAGGACTCTACGAGTCTTCATTGAGCTGATCGATCCTGATGAGACGATGCCTTCGACAAGACTAACATCGTCCGACCATCTTACCGTCTCCTTCCACTAGATGCTTCACTGCCTCGGCATCAACTACTGTATCGACTACCTGAATACCCACAACCTAGTCACGAAACGGAGACGACCCGTATACGTCTCTGATATGGTGATTCAGCTATCTCGAGCTCCCAACGAGGAGGTTACCCAAGCCAGCCCACCTTGCATATGCGCTCTCTAGCGCCGTCATGTAGGGCTCCTAGGGCCTGATGAAGAGCCTTCAGTTCTGGAGGCTCCTCAGGGTCGTCCTCAGAGACGGCCGATTCGGATGTATTAGAACCTAACCAGATGAACAACCGCCTCCGGCTGGTCACATCGCGAGCCTACCCATGGCGCTCTCGAATTTTCTACTAGCTTTTTCGATGAGCCTTTCCATTCGACCGATCAGCACCATACATTGACGAATATAGATAGTGTTCCTGATGGCAGCCTTCGACCATTCGTCCGTCTTCCTAACATGGATAGTGAGAGGACAGTAGCCTCAAGCAGAAGTGTTACTTGGCGGGGTCAGTGGCTAGTCGGGTGGCAGCGATCTCTAGCTCAGTGACCGAGGGGAGGACCTGCTGTGTGAGGCCGAAGAAGAGCTCCTCATCTTGCAATAGTATCTTCACCAGGCCCTACACAGACGAACTCCATGGGAGAGTGAGGTCGAGGGCAGGACTAGCTCACCTGTCTCTCTTGGATGGCCCCAGCATCACAAAGAGGTTGTGTGAGAGACTGTCTGAGGAGTCGTCGGCCGCCCGAAGTAGCACAAGAAAAGAGTTGCTGAACATACAGTAGGGTCTCCCTACTCCTCCCCTTGGAGTCTGACCTAGGGGAGTAGTTGGCGTAGGGAACAACCTAGCAAGGGCAGTGGATATACGATAGGACAATTGTTCGAGATGCTCTACCAACATGAGGGCCCGGATGGTGTGGGAATCCAACGAGAGAACGTTCTGGCTTTCCATGGCAGTGACCATCAAGGAGTCCATCCGCAGTCTGTATTCAGTGCTACCGTTGATGTAGGCCACAAGAGCACCCAAGGAGGCGACCGACACATGGTAGGAACTGAAGGGGGACAACAGCTAGCCGCTGGTAGGCTTGCATTGCAGAGAGGACCTTGGATCTATCTTGATGCAGTGGGATACTCGACGGGCTTTCTCGAGGATCTCCCGACCGGACACCTCACAAAAGCATTTTCTCTGTACTGCTACTATGTCACCGTAGCCTTCCGCCTCTAAGAAAGCCCGAACCTGAACAGAACCGAGCTGCATCTGTAGCATCATCATGATGTTGGGCACACCTGGGCCTGGAGCGAGCTTCGAGACTTAGCGCCTCGACTATGAGGAGTTTTCTTCCCCTCCTCTCGTGGCATGAGATCCTCACACATAAGGACGATGCTGGGAGGGCAGCCCGTTAGAGCTCTCTTGGTGGTGAGATAATTCGGAGTGTCGTAGTACTGGTAAAGGCATACTCGTGTTAAGGAGTTCCTACGAGCAGAAGCAGCAGTAGTGGGTAAACTCCAGAAGGGAGTGAATCGATGACGACAATGATATTCAGGCGAGGATCCTGTTTCTACGAGGGTGAGAGAGTCTATGCCTATCGCAAGACTTATAGCCTATAGGTCCCTAGCCCTGCAATAGACAGCCTATGGGTTATAGGTTATATCGCAGCTACAGGTAGTGACCACTCATCCTAAGTCTGTCGTAGATGATAGTCGACTGTAGCAGGCCGCCATACCTTCCGCATAGGGCAAGGCCGACTTCCCGTGGTTCGGCTGCAGTAGCTCTATGAAAGCCGAAGGAGTCAGCCTCAAAGATGGCTATTATATACGACTCTGCTACGCTGTGGTCTGTGACGCTCATAGAAGCACTCGTCCTTGTACCTGACCACGGGAGTCGGCACTGCTTAAGAGCGGGAGCACCTCTCAGACTTACCACGACTCCGGCCTGATTTCGATCTTCTGACAGAGCCCGGCACGGGAGCTTCCGACCCCTGAGCATCAGCGTAACGAAAGCCCCAGCCGGGCGGCCGCCCTGTTGTTCACCTCATCTAGCTGCTCACCATGATTCCACGATGCTGAGGAAGTCTCGGCAGGCTCGGCAGATTCTCTCCAACACGATGATACGCTAGAGTTTGCCGACGACAAAGGAGTACGATTCTGCGGCCACATTGGGGCTCAAAGAAAACCGATGAAACGGGCAACGTTACGCAATGA